TCGCTCTGCGATTTTTGGGTGAATGTGCATTCTAACCCCAAAAACACCAATTTGAAATAAGCCCAATCAGAGCTTTATTATCTTCTTTTGATGTAGTTGGAAGCCAAAACACCTTTTGCTTTGGTTGGGGGTGATTCTGGTGCACACCCATAAAACCCCATGCGAATAGAAATAAGCACAAATCAAAGCTTATTTGTCTTCTTTCTACGCGTATGGAAGCGAAAAGACGGTGTTGTGTTATTTTGGTCTCAATACACACACTTTGAGATTTCTGGGTCAATGTGCATTAACACCAACGAACACGAAATAAGCAAAATCCAAGATTCTTCTTTCTATGTTGCTGCAACCCAAAACAACCTGTTTGGCTTTGTTTAGGCTTATTACACTTTGCTATTTGTGGGGACTGAACACCTAAAGAACAATGCAGCCTTATTTGTCCTCTTTCTATTGAGATGGAACCAAAACACCTATGCTTGGTTTGGTCTGATAATAATGATGTCACTCTGCAATTTTTGGGTGAATGTGCATTCTAACCCCAAACACACCAATTTGAAATAAGCCGAATCAGAGCTTTATCATCTTCTTTTTATGTAGATGGAACCCAAAAGACCTTTTCGCTTTGGTTGGGGGTGATTCTGGAGCAGATGGAACCCAAAAGACCTTTTTGCTTTGGTTGGGGGTGATTCTGGTGCACACCCATAAAACCCCATGCGAATTGAAATAAGCACAATCAATGCTTATTTGTCTTCTTTCTACGCATATGGAAGCGAAAAGACAGTGTTGTGTTATTTTGGTCTCATTACACACTTTGCGATTTCTGGGTCAATGTGCATTAACACCAAAGAACACGAAATAAGCAAAATCCAAGATTCTTCTTTCTTTGTTGCTGCAACCCAATACAACCTGTTTGGCTTTGTTTAGGCTTATTACACTTTGCTTTGCTATTTGTGGGGCACTGAACACCGAAAGAACAATACAGGCTTATTTGTTCTCTTTCTATTGCGATGGAACCAAAACACCTATGCTTGGTTTGGGCTTAAAATAAACATGTCACTCTGCGATTTTTGGGTGATTGTGCATTCTAACCCCAAAAACACCAATTTGAAATAAGCCCAATCAGAGCTTTATCATCTTCTTTTTATGTAGATGGAACCCAAAAGACCTTTTTGCTTTGTTTGGGGGTGATTCTGGTGCACACCCATAAAACCCCATGCGAATTGAAATAAGCACAATCAAAGCTTATTTGTCTGCTTTCTAGGCATATGGAAGCGAAAAGACAATGTGGTGTTATTTTGGTCTCATTACACACACTTTGCGATTTCTGGGTCAATGTGCATTAACACCAAAGAACACGAAATAAGCAAAATCCAAGATTCTTCTTTCTATGTTGCTGCAACCCAAAACAACCTGTTTGGCTTTGTTTAGGCTTATTACACTTTGCTTGCTATTTGTGGGGGACTGAACACCGAAAGAACAATGCAAGCTTATTTGTCCTCTTTCTATTGAGATGGAACCAAAACACCTATGCTTGGTTTGGGCTGATAATAAACATGTCACTCTGCGATTTTTGGGTGATTGTGCATTCTAACCCCAGAAACACCAATTTGAAATAAGCCCAATCAGAGCTTTATCATCTTTTATGTAGCTGGAACCCAAAAGACCTTTTTGCTTTGGTTGGGGGTGATTCTGGTGCACACCCATAAAACCCCATGCGAATTGAAATAAGCACAATCAAAGCTTATTTGTCTGCTTTCTAGGCATATGGAAGCGAAAAGACAGTGTTGTGTTATTTTGGTCTCATTACACACACTTTGCGATTTCTGGGTCAATGTGCATTAACACCAAAGAACACGAAATAAGCAAAATCCAAGATTCTTCTTTCTATGTTGCTGCAACCCAAAACAACCTGTTTGGCTTTGTTTAGGCTTATTACACTTTGCTTTGCTATTTGTGGGGGACTGAACACCGAAAGAACAATGCAAGCTTATTCGTCCTCTTTCTATTGAGATGGAACCAAAACACCTATGCTTGGTTTGGGCTGATAATAAACATGTCACTCTGCGATTTTTGGGTGATTGTGCATTCTAACCCCAAAAACACCAATTTGAAATAAGCCCAATCAGAGCTTTATCATCTTCTTTTTATGTAGATGGAACCCAAAAGACCTTTTTGCTTTGGTTGGGGGTGATTCTGGTGCACACCCATAAAACCCCATGCGAATTGAAATAAGCACAATCAAAGCTTATTTGTCTTCTTTCTACGCATATGGAAGCGAAAAGACAGTGTTGTGTTATTTTGGTCTCATTACACACACTGCGATTTCTGGGTCAATGTGCATTAACACCAAAGAACACGAAATAAGCAAAATCCAAGATTCTTCTTTCTATGTTGCTGCAACCCAAAACAACCTGTTTGGCTTTGTTTAGGCTTATTACACTTCGCTTTGCTATTTGTGGGGAACTGAACACCGAAAGAACAATGCAAGCTTATTCGTCCTCTTTCTATTGAGATGGAACCAAAACACGTATGCTTGGTTTGAGCTGATAACCGAAATGTCACTCTGCGATTTTTGGGTGATTGTGCATTCTAACCCCAAAAACACCAATTTGAAATAAGCCCAATCAGAGCTTTATCATCTTCTTTTTTATGTAGATGGAACCCAAAAGACCTTTTTGCTTTGGTTGGGGGTGATTCTGGGGCACACCCATAAAACCCCATGCGAATTGAAATAAGCACAATCAAAGCTTATTTGTCTTCTTTCTACGCATATGGAAGCGAAAAGCCAATGTTGTGTTATTTTGATCTCATTACACACACTTTGCGATTTCTGGGTCAATGTGCATTAACACCAAAGAACACGAAATAAGCAAAATCCAAGATTCTTCTTTCTATGTTGCTGCAACCCAAAACAACCTGTTTGGCTTTGTTTAGGCTTATTACACTTGCTTTGCTATTTGTGGGGGACTGAACACCGAAAGAACAATGCAAGCTTATTCGTCCTCTTTCTATTGAGATGGAACCAAAACACCTATGCTTGGTTTGGTCTGATAATAAACATGTCACTCTGCGATTTTTGGGTGAATGTGCATTCTAACCCCAAAAACACCAATTTGAAATAAGCCCAATCAGAGCTTTATCATCTTCTTTTTATGTAGTTGGAAGCCAAAAGACCTTTTTGCTTTGGTTGGGGGTGATTCTGGTGCACACCCATAAAACCCCATGCGAATTGAAATAAGCACAATCAAAGCTTATTTGTCTTCTTTCTAGGCATATGGAAGCGAAAAGACAGTGTTGTGTTATTTAGGTCTCATTACACACACTTTGCGATTTCTGGGTCAATGTGCATTAACACCAAAGAACACGAAATAAGCAAAATCCAAGATTCTTCTTTCTATGTTGCTGCAACCCAAAACAACCTGTTTGGCTTTGTTTAGGCTTATTACACTTTGCTTTGCTATTTGTGGGGGACTGAACACCGAAAGAACAATGCAAGCTTATTCGTCCTCTTTCTATTGAGATGGAACCAAAACACCTATGCTTGGTTTGGTCTGATAATAAACATGTCACTCTGCGATTTTTGGGTGAATGTGCATTCTAACCCCAAAAACACCAATTTGAAATAAGCCCAATCAGAGCTTTATCATCTTCTTTTTATGTAGATGGAACCCAAAGACCTTTTGCTTTGGTTGGGGGTGATTCTGGTGCACACCCATAAAACCCCATGCGAATTGAAATAAGCACAATCAAAGCTTATTTGTCTTCTTTCTACGCATATGGAAGCGAAAAGACAGTGTTGTGTTATTTTGGTCTCATTACACACACTTTGCGATTTCTGGGTCAATGTGCATTAACACCAAAGAACACGAAATAAGCAAAATCCAAGATTCTTCTTTCTATGTTGCTGCAACCCAAAACAACCTGTTTGGCTTTGTTTAGGCTTATTACAATTCGCTTTGCTATTTGTGAGTGAATGAACACCGAAAGAACAATGCAAGCTTATTCGTCCTCTTTCTATTGAGATGGAACCAAAACACCTATGCTTGGTTTGGGATGATAATAAACATGTCACTCTGCGATTTTTGGGTGAATGTGCATTCTAACCCCAAAAACACCAATTTGAAATAAGCCCAATGAGAGCTTTATCATCTTCTTTTTATGTAGTTGGAAGCCAAAACTGCTTTGGTTGGGGGTGATTCTGGTGCACACCCATAAAACCCCATGCAAATTGAAATAAGCACAATCAAAGCTTATTTGTCTTCTTTCTACGCATATGGAAGCGAAAAGACAATGTTGTGTTATTTTGGTCTCATTACACACACTTTGCGATTTCTGGGTCAATGTGCATTAACACCAAAGAACACGAAATAAGCAAAATCCAAGATTCTTCTTTCTATGTTGCTGCAACCCAAAACAACCTGTTTGGCTTTGTTTAGGCTTATTACACTTTGCTTTGCTATCTGTGGGGACTGAACACCGAAAGAACAATGCAAGCTTATTCGTCCTCTTTCTATTGAGATGGAACCAAAACACCTATGCTTGGTTTGGGCTGATAATAAACATGTCACTCTGCGATTTTTGGGTGAATGTGCATTCTAACCCCAAAAACACCAATTTGAAATAAGCCCAATCAGAGCTTTATCATCTTCTTTTTATGTAGCTGGAACCCAAAAGACCTTTTTGCTTTGGTTGGGGGTGATTCTGGTGCACACCCATAAAACCCCATGCGAATTGAAATAAGCACAATCAAAGCTTATTTGTCTTCTTTCTAGGCATATGGAAGCGAAAAGACAATGTTGTGTTATTTTGGTCTCATTACACACACTTTGCGATTTCTGGGTCAATGTGCATTAACACCAAAGAACACGAAATAAGCAAAATCCAAGATTCTTCTTTCTATGTTGCTGCAACCCAAAACAACCTGTTTGGCTTTGTTTAGGCTTATTACACTTTGCTTTGCTATTTGTGGGGACTGAACACCGAAAGAACAATGCAAGCTTATTCGTCCTCTTTCTATTGAGATGGAACCAAAACACCTATGCTTGGTTTGGGCTGATAATAAACATGTCACTGCGATTTTTGGGTGAATGTGCATTCTAACCCCAAAAACACCTGTCAGAGCTGGCTCCAGGTCCCAGCTCACAGAGGACCAACGCTAGCCGGCAGTAATGTGCAAAAGTCTTTATTGAAGTACAGTTTCCATTTTCAAGCCGGAGCGCCCCAGCTCTACGTCTAGGGGTTAGATCGGCGAAGCTCCATCTGAGTCTCCGCCCCTGTACACCAGTTTAAGATTCTAGCCTTACTCCACCTCTTACGTCTCTCCTTTCTCCTCTGGGTCCTGCTACCCCCCGGGGTCCCTTCCTTCCTGGATTCTTCTGACGCTGACCCTCCTGACTCCTCCCCCTCTTTTCGGCGGGCTTTGGGACCTGGCTCCCTATCCGGGCTGCCAACTGCGCCGCCCTCCTGTACATTTGAACTTGGCGCGCGCGCCCAGCCTTCAACCTTCCTCTCGACCGTTTCCTCGCTCCCCGATGGAGGCGTGGCCAATCCTGACTCATGTCCTCCCACTGGCAGTGCGCCGCCTGATCCCGATGCCTGGGACTCCTCCCCCCTACTGCACTCTGGTGTGGACGCTGGTCCTGATTTCCAACTGCTGCTCTCTGAGTCCCCTCTGGCCCCTTCTTCCTGGGGTGTCCCCCTCGGCACCCCCTTGCTCTGACCAAGGGAGCCCCTTTCTGTGAATCTTCCGATTCGCTGGAAAGACTCAGAGACCTCGGACCGCTGTCATCGCTAACATTTCCTTCGGACTCCTCCCCCTCGCTCTCTATTTCCTCCCTTTCCTGTGCCTCTGCTCCTGAACCCCTGACATCCATCCCCCTCGAAGCCCCCCTTCCCCCTCCCCTCCTTCAGGTGTGGGTACTGGGTGCTCCGTCGTTGTGGGGGTGAGTGCCGGATACAGTTCGTCCCCCGTGGCGTGCATCCAGCCGGATAAGTCCGGCTCGTCCTCCGTGCTCTCGCCGACCTCAATTTCCTCTGCTTCCATCTCTTTGCCGCCGTGCTCGACCCCAAGGTCCTCCCCCAACACGTCCATGTCCGTCTCTCCCCCGGTCGCCTCCGGGGACGGTGCCTGCCAAGGACCCCCCACCCCCGTCCTGCGCCACTGCTCCGCGGGGTGATTGTCCCCCCAATAGGAACGGTCTGAGGCTGCACCCGAGGGTGATCCCTCCGGGGAACGTGTTTCTAGTGCCGGTTCCTCGTCCGAGGTGAACCCCTGGAATGTGCTAGCTGAAAATGTGGGTGTGAAAAGCCAGTCGTCGAAATACTCGGCTGGCATGGGCCTGTGTGGGAAAAGGGCATGGAACTCGTCCTTGAGCCAAGATTCCTCCAGAGCATAATCTGGCACCCAACTGTCGCCCCTAGCCGCGGTACCTTCCTTGGCTAGGAGGTATTCCACTCCCTCCTCCCCCATCTCGAGTCTAAAATCTCTGTGACTTCGTTGACGGGTTCCCGCCTTGGCGACCCCCCCCTTGTGGGCGTTTCCCTGAACGGGTCTGGTGCCGTTCCTGGCTCCTGAAATCTATGAGGTGCTTTGTAGGGCGTGAGCACTGATCTATGGAAAACTGGGTGCATTCTGGATCCCTCCGGCAGTGTCAACCGGAAGGCCACTGGATTGACCTGTGCCTCGACTTGGTAGGGTCCTAGCTGCTTATGCCCTAGCTTCTTCTTCGCTAACGATCTGGCCGGCACTGCCTGGGCTGCTAACCAAACCCAGTCTCCCACCTGTATGTCTTCCCCAACCCTTCTGTGCTTGTCAGCCTGCAGTTTGTATGCGTGCTTTGCTAGTTCTAACTGCCTCCGAAGCTGTTCGTGAACCTCCTGCAACTCTGATGCTAAGGCTTCCGCTGCCTGTGGCTCCCCCTCCCCCGCTCTCGCTAATCCCGGGAAGGTTCTGGGATGCCTCCCGTTGTTGGCGAAGAACGGTGTCACCCCGTGGACACGTGCTTCGTGTTGTTGTAGGCGAACTCAGCGAGCGGCAGGTAGTCCACCCATGTTGCCGGCTGCTGATTTGCGTAGCATCGCAGGTACTGCTGCATGATGGCGTTGACTCGCTCCGCTTGTCCGTTCGTCTGCGGGTGTCTCGCCGACGCTAGGTTGATCTTGACGTTCAGGAAACCCATCAGCTTCTGCCAGAAGTTCGAGATGAACTGTCGCCCCCGGTCGGACAGGATAGACCGTGGCAGACCGTGAACCCTGAACACGTGGTCTATGAACAGTTTGGCGGTCTGTTCCGCCGTGGCCACCTTCGCGCACGGAATGAAGTGGGCCATTTTGGTGAACATGTCCACCACCACTAGCACTGCCGTCTTGCCCCTCGAGCTGGGTAGATCCGTGACAAAGTCCAGGGCCACCCTCTCCCACGGTTCGATCGGTGTCTGCAGCGGTTCGAGCAGTCCCGCCGGCGGTTTGTGCACTGACTTGGCCCTTTGGCAGGTGTCGCACCTCGAGACGTAATCCGCGACTTCCCCCCGCATCTTGGGCCACCAAAAATCTCTGGCTACTAATTCTACCGTCTTCTCTTTGCCAAAGTGCCCGGCGGTGGGTGCGTCGTGCAACTGCTGCAGTACTTTCGCGCGGAGGTCGTCTCCCGGTACGTAGAGGGCCCCTCTGCGGATGAGCAATCCGTCGCGTATCTGGAACTCGTCGTCCTCCGCCGTGCCCCTTTGCACCTCTGCCATCTTTGCTTGCGCGAAGGGGTCCTCCTGCAGTGCTCGGCGTACAGCATCCAGGTCCACGGTTGCTGAAGCGCACGCCCACGCTTTCGGTGCGAAAATGTGCTTGGCCGCTGCTGGTGCCGCCTCCTCGAGGTATTGCGGCTTTCTGGACAGTGCATCCGCCATGATGTTGTTGTCGCCTGGGATGTACTCTATCCTGAAGTCGAAATCCGCAAAGAACTCCGCCCATCGTATGTGCCTCTGGTTCAGGAACCTTGCCGTGCGCCAGTACTCCAGGTTTTTATGGTCCGTGCGGACCTGCACTGTGTGTTTGGCTCCAATGAGGAAGTGCCGCCACGCCTTGAATGCTGCATGAATGGCCAGCAACTCCCTGTCCCAGATGGTGTAGTTCTGCTCTGACTTGCTGAGCTTCCTGGAGTAGAAGGCACACGGTCTCCAGTCCCCATGCGGGTCTTGCTGCAACAGTACTGCTCCCACGGCTCTGTCTGAGGCGTCCGTTTCAACCCTCATCGGTCTGCTGGGATTCACATGCAGTAGCTGCTCTTCGGACGAGAAGAGACGGCTTGAGTTTCTGAAAGGACTGTTCCGCTTGCTCCGTCCAGATGAACTTCTTCTTCTTGGAGCTGAGTGTGTCGGTAATGGCTGCCGTCTGCATCGCGAACCCCTTGATGAACTTGCGGTAAAAGTTGGCGAAACCGACAAACCGTTGGACCTCCTTCCGATTGCGCGGGCTCTTCCAGTCCAACACTGAGCGAACCTTGGCGCTGTCCATGGCGAGCCCCTTGTCCGACAACTTGTAGCCCAGGAAATCTACTTCCTTCATGTCGAACTGGCACTTTTCCAGCTTGGCGTACAGCCTGTGCTCCTGCAGTCTCTGCAGAACTTCCTTGACGTCTCCCTCGTGGGCCTCCTCTGATTCTGAAAATATCAGGATGTCGTCCAGGAAGCAGACGCATTTCTTGTAGAGGAGACCCGCCAATACGTGATGCATGAAGGCTTGAAAACAGTGGGAGCCATTTTGTAATCCAAAGGGCATAACTCTGTATTCATAGGTGCCCAGGGGCGTGAACATGGCAGTCTTCCATTCGTCGCCCTCCCGTATGCGAATCAGGTTGTACGCCCCTCGCAGATCCAACTTTGTGAAAACGCGTCCTTTCCTCACCGTTGCGAGCAGGTCATCTATCTTGGGCATGGGAAAGGCTGTGGGCTTGGTTTTGAGTTCAAAATTCTATAGTCCACCACAAGCCTTTTTGGGGCGTGTCCTTCTTCTTCACAAAGAATACAGGACTGCCCCCCACTGCCTTCGACTCCCGGATGAAACCGCGCTTCAAGTTGAGGTCTATGAACTCCCTGAGTTCCTGCAGCTCGTCTTCGGACATGGAATACAGTTTCCCGGTTGGCAGCGTCGCCCCTGGCAGGAGGTCAATCTTGCAGTCATAAGACCTGTGGGGAGGTAGCTTGTCCGCTTCCTTCTCGCAGAAAACCTCCAAAAACGCTGCGTACTTGAGTGGCACTGCTTGCAGCGTGCCTAATTGTAGCTGCGGGTCATCCTCTTCCCCTTCCGGGCTAGGCAGAATGCAATGTTCCGCACAGTATGAGGAGCCGAAGGTCAGTTGTCGCTGGTACCACGCCAATGCTGGGCTGTGCCTGTGCAGCCAACTCATGCCTAATACTATAGGCGTGTCCGACAGTTGGGTGACATTGAAGCTGATGACTTCTCGGTGATTCCCAATTTGCATCACCATCGGAGGCGTTTGCTGCACCACCTGCCCCCAGCAATTCCCTGCCATCCACCGTGACAACTTTCAGAGGCAGCGTGGCTGGCAGGAGTGCTATGTTGTGCTCTTGAAGGAAATCCAGTCCTATGAAGTCTGCGTTACTACCAGAGTCAATGGTAATCGGCACTTCCATAGTGAGTCCATTGGGTAGTTGGAGCGATGCTGTGAGCTGCACCACTGGTTTGGGCGGGAGGGGTCTGTGGGCTGCAAAATCTCTGGGGACGGCTTCATTGACTTGTCTGGTTGGGCCCCAGTGCCTCTTCCTCCAACCAGACTCTGTCGTTTCCCTGCTGTGTTTCTCTCTGCTGAGTTGCTTCTGTTACTGTTGCTGAGGCTGCAGTGTGCTTGTGGAGCCTCTGGGGACACTCTTTCGCCATGTGCTGAGCACTGTCGCAGATGTAGCACTTCCTGTTCCCTCTAGGAGGCTTCGCTTTGACTGCTCCCGGTGTTAAGGCTCTGGTTGTTGACTGAGCCCTGGCGCCTCCAATCTCCATCGGTTGCTCTCCCCCTCCTTGCGGAGGTGGGGATTGCACACGCGCTGTATCCTTGGGGAAGAGGGGAGGTGCTCTCACTGGCGTACGTCCCCAACGTCCTTCTTCTCTGTTCCATGGACGTTCTTCCAGACGCACCCCAATTTGCAGCGCCCGCCGGACAACCTCCTGAGTGCTCTTTGGTCTCTCCCCCCTTGCAATCTCATCTTTCACATTTGCATTCAAGCCTTCCCAAAAAAGGTCTCTGACTGGGGCAGAATCCTTCTCCCATCCCAGCGCATGGACTAATGCAAAAAAGCGGGAATGGTACTGCCTTACACTGGCTCTGCCTTGTTTGAGCCCATGTATGTCTTTTCTGGCGATATCAATGTCTATATTTGATAAAAAACACGAATCCATCGCTTTAATGAATGCATCCGCATTTTGGAGCGCCGGATCCTTATCTCTCCACAGATTGCGCAGCCACGCTTTAGCTTCCCCATGCAAATGGGACAAGATAAACCCCACCTTCTCTTGCTCATCTCTAAAGTCTTTATCCAGCAGTTCCAGCGCAAACAGCACGTCTGCTCGGAAGTTAGGGTACTGCTGCAAATTCCCATCGAAATGAGATACCAGGCTGCCTCCTCTTTTCCCCAGCCCAATCCCCTCTGATTTGGGTCCCGGTTGCCCCTGCTTAGCAAGCACTTCCAACCTGGCTTGGAGATCCCTGCAGGCGGCAGCCGCTTCCTCTTCCCTTTTCCTGGATGCGAGTACCTCCGCGTTGAGTTGTGTCACTGCATTTTGCAGGGCTGCTAGTTGCTGTTCTGTAGTCATCTTGCCTGACTTTTGTGAGCTCGCAAAGCACCAATCTTCTTCCCTCGCTGCGTCCACTCACGTTACGAGGTTTTTGGTGCAAAACTTTATGAGATGGAGCTTACTGTCAGAGCTGGCTCCAGGTCCCAGCTCACAGAGGACCAACGCTAGCCGGCAGTAATGTGCAAAAGTCTTTATTGAAGTACAGTTTCCATTTTCAAGCCGGAGCGCCCCAGCTCTACGTCTAGGGGTTAGATCGGCGAAGCTCCATCTGAGTCTCCGCCCCCTGTACACCAGTTTAAGATTCTAGCCTTACTCCACCTCTTACGTCTCTCCTTTCTCCTCTGGGTCCTGCTACCCCCCGGGGTCCCTTCCTTCCTGGATTCTTCTGACGCTGACCCTCCTGACTCCTCCCCCTCTTTTCGGCGGGCTTTGGGACCTGGCTCCCTATCCGGGCTGCCAACTGCGCCGCCCTCCTGTACATTTGAACTTGGCGCGCGCGCCCAGCCTTCAACCTTCCTCTCGACCGTTTCCTCGCTCCCCGATGGAGGCGTGGCCAATCCTGACTCATGTCCTCCCACTGGCAGTGCGCCGCCTGATCCCGATGCCTGGGACTCCTCCCCCCTACTGCACTCTGGTGTGGACGCTGGTCCTGATTTCCAACTGCTGCTCTCTGAGTCCCCTCTGGCCCCTTCTTCCTGGGGTGTCCCCCTCGGCACCTCCCTTGCTCTGACCAAGGGAGCCCCTTTCTGTGAATCTTCCGATTCGCTGGAAAGACTCAGAGACCTCGGACCGCTGTCATCGCTAACATTTCCTTCGGACTCCTCCCCCTCGCTCTCTATTTCCTCCCTTTCCTGTGCCTCTGCTCCTGAACCCCTGACAACACCAATTTGAAATAAGCCCAATCAGAGCTTTATCTTCTTCTTTTTATGTAGTTGGAACCCAAAAGACCTTTGTGCTTTGATTGGGGGTGATTCTGGTGCACACCCATAAAACCCCATGCAAATTGAAATAAGCACAATCAAAGCTTATTTGTCTTCTTTCTACGCATATGGAAGCGAAAAGACAATGTTGTGTGATTTTGTTCTCCTTACACACACTTTGCGATTTCTGGGTCAATGAGCATTAACACCAAAGAACACGAAATAAGCAAAATCCAAGATTCTTCTTTCTATGTTGCTGCAACCCAAAACAACCTGTTTGGCTTTGTTTAGGCTTATTACACTTTGCTTTGCTATTTGTGGGGGGACTGAACACCGAAAGAACAATGCAAGCTTATTCGTCCTCTTTCTATTGAGATGGAAGCAAAACACCTATGCTTGGTTTGGGCTGATAACAAACATGTCACTCTGCGATTTTTGGGTGATTGTGCATTCTAACCCCAAAAACACCAATTTGAAATAAGCCCAATGAGAGCATTATCATCTTCTTTTTATGTAGCTGGAACCCAAAAGCCCTTTTTGCTTTGGTTGGGGGTGATTCTGGTGCACTCCCATAAAACCCCATGCGAATTGAAATAAGCACAATCAAAGCTTATTTGTCTTCTTTCTACGCATATGGAAGCGAAAAGACAATGTTGTGTTATTTTGGTCTCCTTACACACACTTTGCGATTTCTGGGTCAATGTGCATTAACACCAAAGAACACGTAATAAGCAAAATCCAAGATTCTTCTTTCTATGTTGCTGCAACCCAAAACAACCTGTTTGGCTTTCTTTAGGCTTATTACACTTTGCATTGCTATTTGTGGGGGAGCGAACACAGAAAGAACAATGCAAGCTTATTCGTCCTCTTTCTATTGAGATGGAACAAAAACACCTATGCTTGGATCGGTCTGATAATAAACATGTCTGCGATTTTTGGCTGAATGTGCATTCTAACCCCCAAAACACCAATTTGAAACAAGCCCAGTCAGAGCTTTATCATCTTCTTTTTATGTAGATGTAAGCCAAAACTGTACTTTGCTTGGGAGTGATTCTGGTGCACACCCATAAAACCCCATGCGAATTGAAATAAGCACAATCAAAGCTTATTTGTCTTCTTTCTAGGCATATGGAAGCGAAAAGACAGTGTTGTGTTGTTTTGGTCTCATTACACACTTTGCGATTTCTGGGTGAATGTGCATTAACTCCAAAGAACACGTAATAAGCAAAATCCAAGATTCTTCTTTCTATGTTGCTGCAACCCAAAACAACCTGTTTGGCTTTGTTTAGGCTTATTACAATTCGCTTTGCTATTTGTGAGTGAATGAACACCGAAAGAACAATGCAAGCTTATTCGTCCTCTTTCTATTGAGATGGAACCAAAACACGTATGCTTGGTTTGAGCTGATAACAAACATGTCACTCTGCGATTTTTGGGTGATTGTGCATTCTAACCCCAAAAACACCATTCAAATAAGCCCAATCAGAGCTTTGTCATCTTCTTTTTATGTAGTTGGAAGCCAAAACTGTGCTTTGGTTGGGGGTGATTCTGGTGCACACCCATAAAACCCCATGCAAATTGAAATAAGCACAATCAAAGCTTATTTGTCTTCTTTCTACGCATATGGAAGCGAAAAGACAATGTGTGATTTTGTTCTCCTTACACACACTTTGCGATTTCTTGGTCAATGAGCATTAACACCAAAGAACACGACGAAATAAGCAAAATGCAAGATTCTTCTTTCTATGTTGCTGCAACCCAAAACAACCTGTTTGGCTTTGTTTGGCTTATTACACTTTGCTTTGCTATTTGTGGGGGACTGAACACCGAAAGAACAATGCAAGCTTATTCGTCCTCTTTCTATTGAGATGGAACCAAAACACATATGCTTGGTTTGGGATGATAATAAACATGTCACTGCGATTTTTGCGTGATTGTGCATTCTAACCCCAAAAACACCAATTTGAAATAAGCCCAATGAGAGCTTTATAAGCTTCTTTTTATGTAGTTGGAAGCCAAAACACCTTGGCTTCCAAGCTTGTTTTGGTTGGGCGTGATTCTGGTGCACACCCATAAAACCCCATGCGAATTGAAATAAGCACAATCAAAGCTTATTTGTCTTCTTTCTAGGCATATGGAAGCGAAAAGACCATGTTGTGTTATTTTGGTCTCATTACACACACTTTGAGATTTCTGGGTCAATGTGCATTAACACCAAAGAACACGAAATAAGCAAAATGCAAGATTCTTCTTTCTATGTTGCTGCAACCCAAAACAACCTGTTTGGCTTTGTTTTGGCTTATTACACTTTGCTTTGCTATTTGTGGGGGACTGAACACCGAAAGAACAATGCAAGTGTCAGGGGTTCAGGAGCAGAGGCACAGGAAAGGGAGGAAATAGAGAGCGAGGGGGAGGAGTCCGAAGGAAATGTTAGCGATGACAGCGGTCCGAGGTCTCTGAGTCTTTCCAGCGAATCGGAAGATTCACAGAAAGGGGCTCCCGTGGTCAGAGCAAGGGGGGTGCCGAGGGGGACACCCCAGGAAGAAGGGGCCAGAGGGGACTCAGAGAGCAGCAGTTGGAAATCAGGACCAGCGTCCACACCAGAGTGCAGTAGGGGGGAGGAGTCCCAGGCATCGGGATCAGGCGGCGCACTGCCAGTGGGAGGACATGAGTCAGGATTGGCCACGCCTCCATCGGGGAGCGAGGAAACGGTCGAGAGGAAGGTTGAAGGCTGGGCGCGCGCGCCAAGTTCAAATGTACAGGAGGGCGGCGCAGTTGGCAGCCCGGATAGGGAGCCAGGTCCCAAAGCCCGCCGAAAAGAGGGGGAGGAGTCAGGAGGGTCAGCGTCAGAAGAATCCAGGAAGGAAGGGACCCCGGGGGGTAGCAGGACCCAGAGGAGAAAGGAGAGACGTAAGAGGTGGAGTAAGGCTAGAATCTTAAACTGGTGTACAGGGGGCGGAGACTCAGATGGAGCTTCGCCGATCTAACCCCTAGACGTAGAGCTGGGGCGCTCCGGCTTGAAAATGGAAACTGTACTTCAATAAAGACTTTTGCACATTACTGCCGGCTAGCGTTGGTCCTCTGTGAGCTGGGACCTGGAGCCAGCTCTGACAGTAAGCTCCATCTCTTAAAGTTTTGCACCAAAAACCTCGTAACGTGAGTGGACGCAGCGTGGGAAGAAGATTGGTGCTTTGCGAGCTCACAAAAGTCAGGCAAGATGACTACAGAACAGCAACTAGCAGCCCTGCAAAATGCAGTGACACAACTCAACGCGGAGGTACTCGCATCCAGGAAAAGGGAAGAGGAAGCGGCTGCCGCCTGCAGGGATCTCCAAGCCAGGTTGGAAGTGCTTGCTAAGCAGGGGCAACCGGGACCCAAATCAGAGGGGATTGGGCTGGGGAAAAGAGGAGGCAGCCTGGTATCTCATTTCGATGGGAATTTGCAGCAGTACCCTAACTTCCGAGCAGACGTGCTGTTTGCGCTGGAACTGCTGGATAAAGACTTTAGAGATGAGCAAGAGAAGGTGGGGTTTATCTTGTCCCATTTGCATGGGGAAGCTAAAGCGTGGCTGCGCAATCTGTGGAGAGATAAGGATCCGGCGCTCCAAAATGCGGATGCATTCATTAAAGCGATGGATTCGTGTTTTTTATCAAATATAGACATTGATATCGCCAGAAAAGACATACATGGGCTCAAACAAGGCAGAGCCAGTGTAAGGCAGTACCATTCCCGCTTTTTGCATTAGTCCATGCGCTGGGATGGGAGAAGGATTCTGCCCCAGTCAGAGACCTTTTTGGGAAGGCTTGAATGCAAATGTGAAAGATGAGATTGCAAGGGGGGAGAGACCAAAGAGCACTCAGGAGGTTGTCCGGCGGGCGCTGCAAATTGGGGTGCGTCTGGAAGAACGTCCATGGAACAGAGAAGAAGGACGTTGGGGACGTACGCCAGTGAGAGCACCTCCCCTCTTTCCCAAGGATACAGCGCGTGTGCAATCCCCACCTCCGCAAGGAGGGGAGAGCAACCGATGGAGATTGGAGGCGCCAGGGCTCAGTCAACAACCAGAGCCTTAACACCGGGAGCAGTCAAAGCGAAGCCTCCTAGAGGGAACAGGAAGTGCTACATCTGCGACAGTGCTCAGCACATGGCGAAAGAGTGTCCCCAGAGGCTCCACAAGCACACTGCAGCCTCAGCAACAGTAACAGAAGCAACTCAGCAGAGAGAAACACAGCAGGGAAACGACAGAGTCTGGTTGGAGGAAGAGGCACTGGGGCCCAACCAGACAAGTCAATGAAGCCGTCCCCAGAGATTTTGCAGCCCACAGACCCCCTCCCGCCCAAACCAGTGGTGCAGCTCACAGCATCGCTCCAACTACCCAATGGACTCACTATGGAAGTGCCGATTACCATTGACTCTGGTAGTAACGCAGACTTCATAGGACTGGATTTCCTTCAAGAGCACAACATAGCACTCCTGCCAGCCACGCTGCCTCTGAAAGTTGTCACGGTGGATGGCAGGGAATTGCTGGGTGGGCAGGTGGTGCAGCAAACGCCTCCGATGGTGATGCAAATTGGGAATCACCGAGAAGTCATCAGCTTCAATGTCACCCAACTGTCGGACACGCCTATAGTATTAGGCATGAGTTGGCTGCACAGGCACAGCCCAGCATTGGCGTGGTACCAGCGACAACTGACCTTCGGCTCCTCATACTGTGCGGAACATTGCATTCTGCCTAGCCCGGAAGGGGAAGAGGATGACCCGCAGCTACAATTAGGCACGCTGCAAGCAGTGCCACTCAAGTACGCAGCGTTTTTGGAGGTTTTCTGCGAGAAGGAAGCGGACAAGCTACCTCCCCACAGGTCTTATGACTGCAAGATTGACCTCCTGCCAGGGCGACGCTGCCAACCGGGAAACTGTATTCCATGTCCGAAGACGAGCTGCAGGAACTCAGGAGTTCATAGACCTCAACTTGAAGCGCGGTTTCATCCGGGAGTCGAAGGCAGTGGGGGCAGTCCTGTATTCTTTGTGAAGAAGAAGGACACGCCCCAAAAAGGCTTGTGGTGGACTATAGAATTTTGAACTCAAAACCAAGCCCACAGCCTTTCCCATGCCCAAGATAGATGACCTGCTCGCAACGGTGAGGAAAGGACGCGTTTTCACAAAGTTGGATCTGCGAGGGCGTACAACCTGATTCGCATGCGGGAGGGCGACGAATGGAAGACTGCCATGTTCACGCCCCTGGGCACCTATGAATACAGAGTTATGCCCTTTGGATTACAAAATGGCTCCCACTGTTTTCAAGCCTTCATGCATCACGTATTGGCGGGTCTCCTCTACAAGAAATGCGTCTGCTTCCTGGACGACATCCTGATATTTTCAGAATCAGAGGAGGCCCACGAGGGAGACGTCAAGGAAGTTCTGCAGAGACTGCAGGAGCACAGGCTGTACGCCAAGCTGGAAAAGTGCCAGTTCGACATGAAGGAAGTAGATTTCCTGGGCTACAAGTTGTCGGACAAGGGGCTCGCCATGGACAGCGCCAAGGTTCGCTCAGTGTTGGACTGGAAGAGCCCGCGCAATCGGAAGGAGGTCCAACGGTTTGTCGGTTTCGCCAACTTTTACCGCAAGTTCATCAAGGGGTTCGCGATGCAGACGGCAGCCATTACCGACACACTCAGCTCCAAGAAGAAGAAGTTCATCTGGACGGAGCAAGCGGAACAGTCCTTTCAGAAACTCAAGCGTCTCTTCTCGTCCGAAGAGCAGCTACTGCATGTGAATCCCAGCAGACCGATGAGGGTTGAAACGGACGCCTCAGACAGAGCCGTGGGAGCAGTACTGTTGCAGCAAGACCCGCATGGGGACTGGAGACCGTGTGCCTTCTACTCCAGGAAGCTCAGCAAGTCAGAGCAGAACTACACCATCTGGGACAGGGAGTTGCTGGCCATTCATGCAGCATTCAAGGCGTGGCGGCACTTCCTCATTGGAGCCAAACACACAGTGCAGGTCCGCACGGACCATAAAAACCTGGAGTACTGGCGCACGGCAAGGTTCCTGAACCAGAGGCACATACGATGGGCGGAGTTCTTTGCGGATTTCGACTTCAGGATAGAGTACATCCCAGGCGACAACAACATCATGGCGGATGCACTGTCCAGAAAGCCGCAATACCTCGAGGAGGCGGCACCAGCAGCGGCCAAGCACATTTTCGCACCGAAAGCGTGGGCGTGCGCTTCAGCAACCGTGGACCTGGATGCTGTACGTCGAGCACTGCAGGAGGACCCCTTCGCGCAAGCAAAGATGGCAGAGGTGCAAAGGGGCACGGCGGAGGACGACGAGTTCCAGATACGCGACGGATTGCTCATCCGCAGAGGGGCCCTCTACGTACCGGGAGACGACCTCCGCGCGAAAGTACTGCAGCAGTTGCACGACGCACCCACCGCCGGGCACTTTGGCAAAGAGAAGACGGTAGAATTAGTAGCCAGAGATTTTTGGTGGCCCAAGATGCGGGGGAAGTCGCGGATTACGTCTCGAGGTGCGACACCTGCCAAAGGGCCAAGTCAGTGCACAAACCGCCGGCGGGACTGCTCGAACCGCTGCAGACACCGATCGAACCGTGGGAGAGGGTGGCCCTGGACTTTGTCACGGATCTACCCAGCTCGAGGGGCAAGACGGCAGTGCTAGTGGTGGTGGACATGTTCACCAAAATGGCCCACTTCATTCCGTGCGCGAAGGTGGCCACGGCGGAACAGACCGCCAAACTGTTCATAGACCACGTGTTCAGGGTTCACGGTCTGCCACGGTCTATCCTGTCCGACCGGGGGCGACAGTTCATCTCGAACTTCTGGCAGAAGCTGATGGGTTTCCTGAACGTCAAGATCAACCTAGCGTCGGCGAGACACCCGCAGACGAACGGACAAGCGGAGCGAGTCAACGCCATCATGCAGCAGTACCTGAGATGCTACGCAAATCAGCAGCCGGCAACATGGGTGGACTACCTGCCGCTCGCTGAGTTCGCCTACAACAACACGAAGCACGTGTCCACGGGGGTGACACCGTTCTTCGCCAACAACGGGAGGCATCCCAGAACCTTCCCGGGATTAGCGAGAGAGGGGGAGGGGGAGCCACAGGCAGCGGAAGCCTTAGCATCAGAGTTGCAGGAGGTTCACGAACAGCTTCGGAGGCAGTTAGAACTAGCAAAGCACGCATACAAACTGCAGGCTGACAAGCACAGAAGGGTTGGGGAAGACATACAGGTGGGAGACTGGGTTTGGTTAGCAGCCCAGGCAGTGCCGGCCAGATCGTTAGCGAAGAAGAAGCTAGGGCATAAGCAGCTAGGACCCTACCAAGTCGAGGCACAGGTCAATCCAGTGGCCTTCCGGTTGACACTGCCGGAGGGATCCAGAATGCACCCAGTTTTCCATAGATCAGTGCTCACGCCCTACAAAGCACCTCATAGATTTCAGGAGCCAGGAACGGCACCAGACCCGTTCAGGGAAACGCCCACAAGGGGGTCGCCAAGGCGGGAACCCGTCAACGAAGTCACAGAGATTTTAGACTCGAGATGGGGGAGGAGGGAGTGGAATACCTCCTCGCCAAGGAAGGTACCTCGGCTAGCGCCAACAGTTGGGTGCCAGATTATGCTCTGGAGGAATCTTGGCTTAAGGACGAGTTCCATGCCCTTTTCCCACACAGGCCCATGCCAGCCGAGTATTTCGACGACTGGCTTTTCACACCCACATTTTCAGCTAGCACATTCCAGGGGTTCACCTCGGACGAGGAACCGGCACTAGAAACACGTTCCCCGGAGGGATCACCCTCGGGGTCTGCCTCAGACCGTTCCTATTGGTGGGACAATCAACCAGAGGAGCAGTGGCGCAGGAAGTGGTTGGGGGGTCCTTGGCAGGCAACGTCCCCGGAGGAGACCGGGGAGAGACGGACATGGACGTGTTGGGGGAGGACCTTGGGTTCGAGCACGGCGGCAAAGAGATGGAAGCAGAGGAAATTGAGGTCGGCGAGAGCACGGAGGACGAGCCGGACTTATCCGGCTGGATGCACGCCACGGGGACGAACTGTATCCGGCACTCACCCCCACAACGACGGAGCACCCAGTACCCACACCTGAAGGAGGGGAGGGGGAAGGGGGGCTTCGAGGGGGATGGATGTCAGGGGTTCAGGAGCAGAGGCACAGGAAAGGGAGGAAATAGAGAGCGAGGGGAGGAGTCCGAAGGAAATGTTAGCGATGACAGCGGTCCGAGGTCTCTGAGTCTTTCCAGCGAATCGGAAGATTCACAGAAAGGGGCTCCCTTGGTCAGAGCAAGGGGGTGCCGAGGGGACACCCCAGGAAGAAGGGGCCAGAGGGGACTCAGAGAGCAGCAGTTGGAAATCAGGACCAGCGTCCACACCAGAGTGCAGTAGGGGGGGAGGAGTCCCAGGCATCGGGATCAGGCGGCGCACTGCCAGTGGGAGGACATGAGTCAGGATTGGCCACGCCTCCATCGGGGAGCGAGGAAACGGTCGAGAGGAAGGTTGAAGGCTGGGCGCGCGCCAAGTTCAAATGTACAGGAGGGCGGCGCAGTTGGCAGCCCGGATAGGGAGCCAGGTCCCAAAGCCCGCCGAAAAGAGGGGGAGGAGTCAGGAGGGTCAGCGTCAGAAGAATCCAGGAAGGAAGGGACCCCGGGGGGTAGCAGGACCCAGAGGAGAAAGGAGAGACGTAAGAGGTGGAGTAAGGCTAGAATCTTAAACTGGTGTACAGGGGCGGAGACTCAGATGGAGCTTCGCCGATCTAACCCCTAGACGTAGAGCTGGGGCGCTCCGGCTTGAAAATGGAAACTGTACTTCAATAAAGACTTTTGCACATTACTGCCGGCTAGCGTTGGTCCTCTGTGAGCTGGGACCTGGAGCCAGCTCTGACAGCAAGCTTATTCGTCCTCTTTCTATTGAGATGGAACCAAAACACCTATGCTTGGTTTGGCCTGATAATAAACATGTCACAATGCGATTTTTGGGTGAATGTGCATTCTAACCCCAAAAACACCAATTTGAAATAAGCCCAATCAGAGCTTTATCATCTTCTTTTTATGTAGCTGGAACCCAAAAGCCCTTTTTGCTTTGCTTGGGGGTGATTCTGGTGCACACCCATAAAACCCCATGCAAATTGAAATAAGCACAATCAAAGCTTATTTGTCTTCTTTCTACGCATATGGAAGCGAAAAGACAATGTTGTGTGATTTTGTTCTCCTTACACACACTTTGCGATTTCTTGGTCAATGAGCATTAACACCAAAGAACACGAAATAAGCAAAATCCAATATTCTTCTTTCTATGTTGCTGCAACCCAAAACAACCTGTTTGGCTTTGTTTAGGCTTATCACACCTTGCTTTGCTATTTGTGGGGGACTGAACACTGAAAGAACAATGCAAGCTTATTCGTCCTCTTTCTATTGAGATGGAACCAAAACACGTATGCTTGGTTTGAGCTGATAACCGACATGTCACTCTGCGATTTTTGGGTGATTGTGCATTCTAACCCCAAAAACACCAATTTGAAATAAGCCCAATGAGAGCATTATCATCTTCTTTTTATGTAGCTGGAACCCAAAAGCCCTTTTTGCTTTGGTTGGGGGTGATTCTGGTGCACTCCCATAAAACCCCATGCGAATTGAAAAAAGCACAATCAAAGCTTATTTGTCTTCTTTCTACGCATATGGAAGCGAAAAGACAATGTTGTGTTATTTTGGTCTCCTTACACACACTTTGCGATTTCTGGGTCAATGTGCATTAACACCAAAGAACACGTAATAAGCAAAATCCAAGATTCTTCTTTCTATGTTGCTGCAACCCAAAACAACCTGTTTGGCTTTCTTTAGGCTTATTACACTTTGCATTGCTATTTGTGGGGGAGCGAACACAGAAAGAACAATGCAAGCTTATTCGTCCTCTTTCTATTGAGATGGAACAAAAACACCTATGCTTGGATCGGTCTGATAATAAACATGTCTGCGATTTTTGGCTGAATGTGCATTCTAACCCCCAAAACACCAATTTGAAACAAGCCCAGTCAGAGCTTTATCATCTTCTTTTTATGTAGATGTAAGCCAAAACTGTACTTTGCTTGGGAGTGATTCTGGTGCACACCCATAAAACCCCATGCGAATTGAAATAAGCACAATCAAAGCTTATTTGTCTTCTTTCTAGGCATATGGAAGCGAAAAGACAGTGTTGTGTTGTTTTGGTCTCATTACACACTTTGCGATTTCTGGGTGAATGTGCATTAACTCCAAAGAACACGTAATAAGCAAAATCCAAGATTCTTCTTTCTATGTTGCTGCAACCCAAAACAACCTGTTTGGCTTTGTTTAGGCTTATTACAATTCGCTTTGCTATTTGTGAGTGAATGAACACCGAAAGAACAATGCAAGCTTATTCGTCCTCTTTCTATTGAGATGGAACCAAAACACGTATGCTTGGTTTGAGCTGATAACAAACATGTCACTCTGCGATTTTTGGGTGATTGTGCATTCTAACCCCAAAAACACCATTCAAATAAGCCCAATCAGAGCTTTGTCATCTTCTTTTTATGTAGTTGGAAGCCAAAACTGTGCTTTGGTTGGGGGTGATTCTGGTGCACACCCATAAAACCCCATGCAAATTGAAATAAGCACAATCAAAGCTTATTTGTCTTCTTTCTACGCATATGGAAGCGAAAAGACAATGTGTGATTTTGTTCTCCTTACACACACTTTGCGATTTCTTGGTCAATGAGCATTAACACCAAAGAACACGACGAAATAAGCAAAATGCAAGATTCTTCTTTCTATGTTGCTGCAACCCAAAACAACCTGTTTGGCTTTGTTTGGCTTATTACACTTTGCTTTGCTATTTGTGGGGACTGAACACCGAAAGAACAATGCAAGCTTATTCGTCCTCTTTCTATTGAGATGGAACCAAAACACGTATGCTTGGTTTGAGCTGATAACCGACATGTCACTCTGCGATTTTTGGGTGAATGTGCATTCTAACCCCAAAAACACCAATTTGAAATAAGCCCAATGAGAGCTTTATCATCTTCTTTTTATGTAGTTGGAAGGCAAAACTGTCCTTTGGTTGGGGGTGATTCTCGTGCACACCCATAAAACCCCATGCGAATTGAAATAAGCACAATCAAGGCTTATTTGTCTTCTTTCTACGCATATGGAAGCGAAAAGTCAGTTGTGTTATTTTGGTCTCATTACACACACTTTGCGATTTCTGGGTCAATGTGCATTAACACCAAAGAACACGAAATAAGCAAAATGCAAGATTCTTCTTTCTATGTTGCTGCAACCCAAAACAACCTGTTTGGCTTTGTTTTGGCTTATTACACTTTGCTTTGCTATTTGTGGGGGACTGAACACCGAAAGAACAATGCAAGCTTATTCGTCCTCTTTCTATTGAGATGGAACCAAAACACCTATGCTTGGTTTGGCCTGATAATAAACATGTCACAATGCGATTTTTGGGTGAATGTGCATTCTAACCCCAAAAACACCAATTTGAAATAAGCCCAATCAGAGCTTTATCATCTTCTTTTTATGTAGCTGGAACCCAAAAGACCTTTTTGCTTTGGTTGGGGGTGATTCTGGTGCACACCCATAAAACCCCATGCGAATTGAAATAAGCACAATCAAAGCTTATTTGTCTGCTTTAAAGGCATATGGAAGCGAAAAGACAGTGTTGTGTTATTTTGGTCTCATTACACACACTTTGCGATTTCTGGGTCAATGTGCATTAACACCAAAGAACACGAAATAAGCAAAATCCAAGATTCATCTTTCTTTGTTGCTGCAACCCAATACAACCTGTTTGGCTTTGTTTAGGCTTATTACACTTTGCTTTGCTATTTGTGGGGCACTGAACACCGAAAGAACAATGCAAGCTTATTCGTACTCTTTCTATTGAGATGGAACCAAAACACCTATGCTTGGTTTGGGCCTATAATGTCACTGCGATTTTTGGGTGATTGTGCATTCTAGCCCTAAAAACAACAATTTGAAATAAGCCCAATCAGAGCTTTATCATCTTCTTTTTATGTAGATGGAACCCAAAAGACCTTTTTGCTTTGTTTGGGGGTGATTCTGGTGCACACCCATAAACCCCATGCGAATTGAAATAAGCACAATCAAAGCTTATTTGTCTGCTTTCTAGGCATATGGAAGCGAAAAGACAATGTGGTGTTATTTTGGTCTCATTACACACACTTTGCAATTTCTGGGTCAATGTGCATAAACACCAAAGAACACGAAATAAGCAAAATCCAAGATTCTTCTTTCTATGTTGCTGCCACCCAAAACAACCTGTTTGGCTTTGTTTAGGCTTATTACACTTTGCTATTTGTGGGGGACTGAACACCGAAAGAACAATACAGGCTTATTTGTCCTCTTTCTATTGAGATGGAACCAAAACACCTATGCTTGGTTTGGTCTGATAATAATGATGTCACTCTGCAATTTTTGGGTGAATGTGCATTCTAACCCCAAACACACCAATTTGAAATAAGCCCAATCAGAGCTTTATCATCTTCTTTTTATGTAGATGGAACCCAAAAGACCTTTTCGCTTTGGTTCGGGGTGATTCTGGTGCAGATGGAACCCAAAAGACCTTTTTGCTTTGGTTGGGGGTGATTCTGGTGCACACCCATAAAAAAACCATGCGAATTGAAATAAGCACAATCAAAGCTTATTTGTCTTCTTTCTACGCGTATGGAAGCGAAAAGACAATGTTGTGTTATTTTGGTCTCATTACACACACTTTGAGATTTCTGGGTCAATGTGCATTAACACCAACGAACACGAAATAAGCAAAATCCAAGATTCTTCTTTCTATGTTGCTGCAACCCAAAACAACCTGTTTGGCTTTGTTTAGGCTTATTACACTTTGCTATTTGTGGGGGACTGAACACCTAAAGAACCATGCAGCCTTATTTGTCCTCTTTCTATTGAGATGGAACCAAAACACCTATGCTTGGTTTGGTCTGATAATAATGATGTCACTCTGCAATTTTTGGGTGAATGTGCATTCTAACCCCAAACACACCAATTTGAAATAAGCCGAATCAGAGCTTTATCATCTTCTTTTATGTAGATGGAACCCAAAAGACCTTTTCGCTTTGGTTGGGGGTGATTCTGGAGCAGATGGAACCCAAAAGACCTTTTTGCTTTGGTTGGGGGTGATTCTGGTGCACACCCATAAAACCCCATGCGAATTGAAATAAGCACAATCAATGCTTATTTGTCTTCTTTCTACGCATATGGAAGCGAAAAGACAGTGTTGTGTTATTTTGCTCTGATTACACACTGCGATTTCTGGGTCAATGTGCATTAACACCAAAGAACACGAAATAAGCAAAATCCAAGATTCTTCTTTCTATGTTGCTGCAACCCAATACAACCTGTTTGACTTTTTTAGGCTTATTACACTTTCCTTTGCTATTTGTGGGGACTGAACACCGAAAGAACACAATGCAAGCTTATTCGTCCTCTTTCTATTGAGATGGAACCAAAACACCTATGCTTGGTTTGGTCTGATAATAAACATGTCACTCTGCGATTTTTGGGTGAATGTGCATTCTAACCCCAAAAACACCTATTTGAAATAAGCCCAATCAGAGCTTTATTATCTTCTTTTTATGTAGCTGGAACCCAAAAGACCTTTTAGCTTTGGTTGGGGGTGATTCTGGTGCACACCCATAAAACCCCATGCGAATTGAAATAAGCACAATCAAAGCTTATTTGTCTGCTTTAAAGGCATATGGAAGCGAAAAGACAATGTGGTGTTATTTTGGTCTCATTACACACACTTTGCGATTTCTGGGTCAATGTGCATTAACACCAAAGAACACGAAATAAGCAAAATCCAAGATTCATCTTTCTTTGTTGCTGCAACCCAAAACAACCTGTTTGGCTTTGTTCAGGCTTATTACACTTCGCTTTGCTATTTGTGGGGGACAGAACACCGAAAGAACAATGCATGCTTCTTCGTCCTCCTTCTATTGAGATGGAACCAAAACACCTATGCTTGGTTTGGGCTGATAATAAACATGTCACTCTACGATTTTTGGGTGATTGTGCATTCTAACCCCAGAAACACCAATTTGAAATAAGCCCAATCAGAGCTTTATCATCTTCCTATATGTAGATGGAACCCAAAAGACCTTTTTGCTTTGGTTGGGGGTGATTCTGGTGCACACCCATAAAACCCCATGCGAATTGAAATAAGCACAATCAATGCTTATTTGTCTGCTTTAAAGGCATATGGAAGCGAAAAGACAGTGTTGTGTTATTTTGGTCTCATTACACACACTTTGCGATTTCTGGGTCAATGTGCATTAACACCAAAGAACACGAAATAAGCAAAATCCAAGATTCATCTTTCTTTGTTGCTGCAACCCAATACAACCTGTTTGGCTTTGTTTAGGCTTATTACACTTTGCTTTGCTATTTGTGGGGCACTGAACACCGAAAGAACAATGCAAGCTTATTCGTACTCTTTCTATTGAGATGGAACCAAAACACCTATGCTTGGTTTGGGCCTATAATGTCACTGCGATTTTTGGGTGATTGTGCATTCTAGCCCTAAAAACAACAATTTGAAATAAGCCCAATCAGAGCTTTATCATCTTCTTTTATGTAGATGGAACCCAAAAGACCTTTTTGCTTTGTTTGGGGGTGATTCTGGTGCACACCCATAAACCCCATGCGAATTGAAATAAGCACAATCAAAGCTTATTTGTCTGCTTTCTAGGCATATGGAAGCGAAAAGACAATGTGGTGTTATTTTGGTCTCATTACACACACTTTGCAATTTCTGGGTCAATGTGCATAAACACCAAAGAACACGAAATAAGCAAAATCCAAGATTCTTCTTTCTATGTTGCTGCCACCCAAAACAACCTGTTTGGCTTTGTTTAGGCTTATTACACTTTGCTATTTGTGGGGGACTGAACACCGAAAGAACAATACAGGCTTATTTGTCCTCTTTCTATTGAGATGGAACCAAAACACCTATGCTTGGTTTGGTCTGATAATAATGATGTCACTCTGCAATTTTTGGGTGAATGTGCATTCTAACCCCAAACACACCAATTTGAAATAAGCCCAATCAGAGCTTTATCATCTTCTTTTTATGTAGATGGAACCCAAAAGACCTTTTCGCTTTGGTTCGGGGTGATTCTTGTGCAGATGGAACCCAAAAGACCTTTTTGCTTTGGTTGGGGGTGATTCTGGTGCACACCCATAAAAAACCATGCGAATTGAAATAAGCACAATCAAAGCTTATTTGTCTTCTTTCTACGCGTATGGAAGCGAAAAGACAATGTTGTGTTATTTTGGTCTCATTACACACACTTTGAGATTTCTGGGTCAATGTGCATTAACACCAAAGAACACGACTTGAAATAAGCGAAATCGAAGATTCTTCTGTTCTATGTAGCTGGTACCCAAAAGAACCTATTTAGCTTTGTTTAGGCTTATTACAATTCGCTTTGCTATTTGTGAGTGAATGAACACCGAAAGAACAATCCAAGCTTATTCGTCCTCTTTCTATTGAGATGGAACCAAAACACCTATGCTTGGTTTGGTCTGATAATAAACATGTCGCTCTGCGATTTTTGGGTGAATGTGCATTCTAACCCCAAAAACACCAATTTGAAATAAGCCCAATCAGAGCTTTATTATCTTCTTTTGATGTAGTTGGAAGCCAAAACACCTTTGCTTTGGTTGGGGGTGATTCTGGTGCACACCCAAAAAACCCCATGCGAATAGAAATAAGCACAAATAAAGCTTATTCGTCTACTTTCTACGCGTATGGAAGCGAAAAGACGGTGTTGTGTTATTTTGGTCTCAATACACACACTTTGAGATTTCTGGGTCAATGTGCATTAACACCAACGAACACGAAATAAGCAAAATCCAAGATTCTTCTTTCTATGTTGCTGCAACCCAAAACAACCTGTTTGGCTTTGTTTAGGCTTATTACACTTTGCTATTTGTGGGGGACTGAACACCTAAAGAACAATGCAGCCTTATTTGTCCTCTTTCTATTGAGATGGAACCAAAACACCTATGCTTGGTTTGGTCTGATAATAATGATGTCACTCTGCAATTTTTGGGTGAATGTGCATTCTAACCCCAAACACACCAATTTGAAATAAGCCGAATCAGAGCTTTATCATCTTCTTTTTATGTAGATGGAACCCAAAAGACCTTTTCGCTTTGGTTGGGGGTGATTCTGGAGCAGATGGAACCCAAAAGACCTTTTTGCTTTGGTTGGGGGTGATTCTGGTGCACACCCATAAAACCCCATGCGAATTGAAATAAGCACAATCAATGCTTATTTGTCTTCTTTCTACGCATATGGAAGCGAAAAGACAGTGTTGTGTTATTTTGCTCTGATTACACACTGCGATTTCTGGGTCAATGTGCATTAACACCAAAGAACACGAAATAAGCAAAATCCAAGATTCATCTTTCTTTGTTGCTGCAACCCAATACAACCTGTTTGGCTTTGTTTAGGCTTATTACACTTTGCTTTGCTATTTGTGGGGGACTGAACACCGAAAGAACAATGCAAGCTTATTCGTCCTCTTTCTATTGAGATGGAACCAAAACACCTATGCTTGGTTT